GAGAATCATTTAAAGTAAGTGATGAAACAATATTCTTTTTCTGCTGTCATTAAAAAAATATTCTGCCTCTTCTAGGTTTATATGTACTTACCCTATAATGCAAGAAGTAATTATAGCCTTATATAGGTTGTATCTTAACATCATAGGAAGGGAATGTGTTGCACTTCATTCCTCAGGTTTTTTGAACATTTCAAACTGTTGAATAGGATGCTCTGTTGATAGGTTATACCATTTATCCACTCCTCAAACAAAGAAATTTTCAGATTGCATCAATTCTAGGTTTAGCGGTTTAGCCTTCGTATAGAAGTATTTTCTTGTCAATTGTCTTGTTATTTGACTGTATTCCTTTACATGGTTTGCAGTTTCTTTATACTCAAATAAATTCAGCTGACCTTGTCTGCCTAAAATAACTGATTTGGTTTCCTGACTCCCCCTATTAACATCTTAAGGGTGAACATGAACTCATCTCCGCTACTCTGCCTATCAAAACTCCCCAATTTCTTTGTTCATTATTTAAGGTTAATCTTCGATTGCATGCATACGTCAAAGTTAAGTTATTGCCACGTGCAATAAACTTAACGAACAGTTATTATATGATCACTGGCGAGCATCATTCTATTTCTGTATGTATTATAAATTTTATATTAAGAGCCATGTTTCTTATTGAAGCTGTCTCAATGTCATTCTGTGCCGGAATGGTTTGTGTTCTTCGATATCTTGATTGATGAGAGCAGGCTAATTTGCTCCTCTCCTTGAATACTTTTTTGTTGTTGCTAAAATCTTCGACTGAAACGTTTTACATTTATTGGTCAGATGTTCTGATGCTACCTTGGTAGAGATCCCGGTGGAAGTGGAGAACCCAGATCATCACTACTATCATGTATGATTTTTCAGCATTCAATGATCTCATCCCTTCGATCTTCTTCGTACTACTAGTCGAACCAATTCTTTATACAAGTAAATATGATTTCTTTTATTTATTTCATGCAGATTGCCCTTTTCACAAGAAGGAAGGTTGATGCCAGGGAGAAGCTGACTTGGTAAGAGGGGGTAGGAGCTGACTTGGATGCTACAATTTATGGAAATGTTGCAAGATTTATCAATCACAGGTGTAAAATCCATAACGTAATTGTCCGCTAGCTTTGCATCTGCATTGGACATGTAAATTCAACTTTAACCGTTAAGCTATTTTCACTTGCAATAAACTTAATGAACAGATATTACACGATCATTAACGAGCATCATTTAAAGTAAGTGATGAAACAATTTTAGTTTTCTGCCATCATTAAGATAATTCTGCATCTTCTAGGTTTATATGTACTTACCCTATAATGCAAGAAGTAATTATAGCCTAATATAGGTTGTGTATACATTTATATACATTTGTATCTTAACATCTAGGAAGGAAATGTGTTGCACTTTGTTGTTCAGGTTTATTGAACATTTCAAACTGTTGATTAGCATGCTCTGTTGATAGATTACACCATTTATCTACTCCTCAAAGAAAGAAATTTTCAGATTGCATAAATTCTAGGTTTAGCTGTTTAGCCTTCCTTCATATAGAAGTATTTTCTTGTCAGTGGTCTAATTATTGACTGCATCCCTTTACATGTTGTAGTTTCTTTATACTCAAATCAATTGAACTGACCTTCTCTAACCAAAATAACCAATTTGATTTCATGACACCCCCTAACATCTTAGGGGTGAACGAACGTGATCATCTCCGCCACTCTGCCTATCCAAACTCTTCAATTTCTTTGTTCATTATTTAAGGTTTATCTTAGGTTGCATGCATACTCAAAATTAAAGTTATTGCCATGTGCAATAAACTTAACGAACAGTTATTATACATCACTGACGAGCATCATTCTATTTCTGTATAGAATATTAAGAGCCATGTTTCTTATTGAAGCTGTCTCAATGTCATTCTGTGCCGGAATGGTTTGTATTATTGGATATCTTGATTGATGAGAGCGGCTAATTTTCTCTTCTCCTTGAATACTTTTTCTTTTTGTTGCTAAAATCTTCTACTGAAACATTTTACATTTATCGGTCAGATGTTGTGCTACCTTGGTAGAGATCCCTGCGGAAGTGAAGACCCCAGATCATCACTACTATCATGTATGATTTTTCAGCATTCAATGATCTCATCCCTTCGATCTTAGGAGGATTCGTCAAGGAGAAGTTTCTGGAAGAATGTATATCCTTGAAGCGGGAACCTAAACAAGACCACTAGTGTATTGTAGAAACTGCCTACTTCAAAGGTCTACGAATGAGGAGTTCTGTGCCATGCAAAGGCCATTTGTTACAGAAATTTATAAACGAATGCTGGTCTAAATGCTGGTGTAACAAGAAATGTGGAAACCGGATAGTTCAGCAAAGCATCACTGTGAAGTTGCAGGTTAGTTTGTCTGCTGTGAATTTCAAGGCCCTAGGTAATAATAACCAGATGCGTATAAATTCTAAACGCGTCTAAGTGGTTTAATCTTTGTTGTAGGTGTTTTTGACACCCGAAGGGAAGGGGTGGGGTCTTCGAACACTGGAGGACTTGCCACCAGGGGCTTTTGTTTGTGAGTATGTTGGAGAGATATTAACCAACACGGAACTACATGAGCGAAATGTGGGAAGTCCTGGTAACAAGAATACACGCTACCAAGTTCTACTAGATGCAGGTTGGGGCTGGAAGGGTGTCTTGAAAGATGAAGAGGTCCTTTGCTTGGACGCTACAGTTTATGGAAATGTTGCGAGATTTATCAATCACAGGTGTAAAATCCATACTCTTAAATACCCCAGCCGCTTCCTCCAACTCAGTGCTTATAGTAATTATTAGATTTATATTTCTAGTCAAAGGTGATATTGCATAAGAATTATATTATTCTCTTCTATATAAATTTCAAGGTTATCTCTGACCAAAAAGAAGCTTAAGGTTATTAGTTTCGTTGGTATTGTTTGTCTTGCTTTTCAAATTTTCCTCTCAGGGTCTTGGATTGATCACAATCAATTGTAAGTTTTGGATTTGTCTGCTAGTATGAAACAATATTCTTATTCTTCTATCGTTGAAAATATTTCTGCCTCTTAGAGAATTCATATCCACTTACCCTATTATGGAAGAAGTAATTTAAGCCTAATATAAGTTGCATACACATTTATATCTGAATGCACGAAGAAAATCTGATGCGCTTGGTTGCTTAACAACGATGTGTTAGTTTCATGTTGTATCAGGTATCTTTATTCAGTTTTAGTAATATGAAGGGTTTATTGAATATTTGACACTTTTGATAGGTAAGCCATTTATCTACTTCCTCAAACAAAGAAACTTTTAGATTACAAAAATTCTAGGTTTAGGGGTTTAGTCTTTATAGAAGTATCTACTTGACGCCACCTACAAGCATCTGGGGTGTGAACATGAGCTCATCTCTGCCACTCTGCCTCTCCAAACTCCCCAGTTTCTTTGTTCCGGATTTAACGTTAATCACAGATTGTATGCGAACTTAAAAGTTACGTAATTGTCCGCTATGTTTGCATCTGCAGTAGACCTGTAAATTTAACTTTATACGTTAAGCTATTATCATTTGCAATAAACTTAATTAACAGTTATTAACGAGAATCATTTAAAGTAAGTGATGAAACAATATTCTTTTTCTGCTGTCATTAAAAAAATATTCTGCCTCTTCTAGGTTTATATGTACTTACCCTATAATGCAAGAAGTAATTATAGCCTTATATAGGTTGTATCTTAACATCATAGGAAGGGAATGTGTTGCACTTCATTCCTCAGGTTTTTTGAACATTTCAAACTGTTGAATAGGATGCTTTGTTGCCATTTATCTACTCAAACAAAGAAATTTTCAGATTGCATCAATTCTAGGTTTAGCGGTTTAGCCTTCGTATAGAAGTATTTTCTTGTCAATTGTCTAATTATTTGACCGTATTCCTTTACATGGTTTGCAGTTTCTTTATACTCAAATAAATTCAGCTGACCTTGTCTGCCTAAAATAACTGATTTGGTTTCATGACTCCTCCTATTAACATCTTAAGGGTGAACATGAACTCATCTCCGCTACTTTGCCTATCAAAACTCCCCAATTTCTTTGTTCATTATTTAAGGTTAATCTTCGATTGCATGCATACGTCAAAGTTAAGTTATTGCCACGTGCAATAAACTTAACGAACAGTTATTATATGATCACTGGCGAGCATCATTCTATTTCTGTATGTATTATAGATTCTATATTAAGAGCCATGTTTCTTATTGAAGCTGTCTCAATGTCATTCTGTGCCGGAATGGTTTGTGTTCTTCGATATCTTGATTGATGAGAGCAGGCTAATTTGCTCCTCTCCTTGAATACTTTTTTGTTGTTGCTAAAATCTTCGACTGAAACGTTTTACATTTATTGGTCAGATGTTCTGATGCTACCTTGGTAGAGATCCCGGTGGAAGTGGAGACACCAGATCATCACTACTATCATGTATGATTTTTCAGCATTCAATGATCTCATCCCTTCGATCTTCTTCGTACTACTAGTCGAACCAATTCTTCATACAAGTAAATATGATTTCTTTTATTTATTTCATGCAGATTGCCCTTGATGCCATGGAGGAGCTGACTTGGGTAAGAGGGGTTAGGAGCTGACTTGGATGCTACAATTTATGGAAATGTTGCAAGATTTATCAATCACAGGTGTAAAATCCATAACGTAATTGTCAGCTAGCTTTGCATCTGCATTGGACATGTAAATTCAACTTTAACCGTTAAGCTATTTTCACTTGCAATAAACTTAATGAACAGTTATTACACGATCATTAATGAGCATCATTTAAAGTAAGTGATGAAACAATTTTAGTTTTCTGCTATCATTAAGATAATTCTGCATCTTCTAGGTTTATATGTACTTACCTTATAATGCAAGAAGTAATTATAGCCTAATATAGGTTGTGTATGTTGAAATATAATCCTGTTCTGCCTGATTTCTTAGAGCAGAAGTCATGTTCTGCCTGATTTCTTAGGCAGAAGTCATTTTCTATTTTCTGTTCTGTCTATTTTAAATGATGTAATGAGAACCATTAGATCATAGTCTAGGTGGATTCTCTAGCTTAGATTTGGTATGACACGTGTAAGCACCTAATAGGGTGACAGTTGTAATTCTGTTAGAAGAGAATCACATTTCTCTCTCTGTCAGACACACTATGTAAGC